ACAAAAATCCCCTGGAAAGCTACATCCAAATCCCTCTGGCTTCAGAGAATATCTCATCATGAACAGACTATGGTCACAATCCCCACTACAAACCGGCCTGTTACGTCAGCAGGACATGAGTGCACAGTGAGTGTGTTTTAGGACAGAGATGAAGAGGGCCTGGAAACCCAGTTAGGTATTCCTTGTTTTATTCCCATAAGCATTATGGCCAAGCAATTATTTGGCCTTTCTCTGGAAGCTACTATTTTTTTGGAATCTCGCCAGGTTTTCATGCTTCTCTTAGGAACATCCGAGTATCTGAATCACTGCAGTTGCCTACAAAGAACTCCATGGAACTGCTTGGATGATGTGACACCCCCCCCCCAAGGGCCTGTGCTGACTAGAGGATTCTGGGAGATACAATCAATGGAAACACTTTTTCAAGCGCTGAGAGAAGATGAGCCTTTGGCCCACTCCTACCAGGACTCTTAAGCACAATATTAAAAACATGCATCAACATAAAATGATCTACTTCTACATTGCCTAGGTTTATTACTGCTATGTTGCTATAGTTTGACACCATCTTTATAGTAGGAGAACCAAGACTGGGTTTCCTATGTCTACCGACCGCCATGTGTACACCGCTTCCATTTTCAGCAGATGCATCCTACCAGAACACTCATTTTCCAGTAGGTAAAAGAATACTGCATTTTTCCATGTATAAAACTTTTCCCTTAAATAATTAGACAAAGAATTGAGGGTCGTTTTATACACGGAAGGCAGCCGCTTTCCCTACCTTTTGCGAAGCCACGGGGCTTAGCAAAAAAGAAGGGAAGGCTCCCTTCGGGTAACGCTGCCGTGAAAGGGCTCCAGGATCAATGGGCTGCAATCGTGCAGTCCTTTCACGGCTGCTTTATCCACTTCCTAAGCCCTGTGAGGTTTAGGAAGTGGATAAAGCAGCCATGAAAGAGATTCAGGATCAAAGGGGTGTGATAGTACCGCCTTTACCCAAAGGGAGCCTTCCCTTCCTTTTTGCTAAGCCCAGTGGCTTCACAAAAGGCAAGGAAAAGTGGCGGCCGAAGGGAGCCCTTTGATCCCTACTTTTCCTGTCCTTTTGCTAAGCTCCGTGGCTTAGCAAAAGGAAGGGGAAAGCAGGGATCAAATTTTCTAATTTGGGTTTAGAAAAGGGGTGATCATCTCATACTTTGGGTCATCTTATAAATGGAAAAATATGGTACTTTTGAAACGAAATCTTCCCTGCTGACTTTTGGGAAAGCCAAATAACACACTGAAAAAGAGAGATGTAAACAGATATGCAAGAATCGGTGTTAGCAGTGTAAGAAACGTCATATTTTGAACGAAACCACTACTGTTTTAATACCCCCTGCATGTCTTAATTCCAGAATAGAAAAAAAAGTTCCTCCAAATGTAACAGATGCGGCTCAACATTTCAAATATATTAAAAGTAGTATCTGAAATATTAAGAACGAGTTGTCCTTGCTGGTTTGACCCCAAAAATCATACTATTCAAATAGTAATGCCAGTGATTTAGAGTAATATAAGGATCATAGGATAAATCTCTTTTGTTTCTAGCAAAACAAGCGCTAAACAGATTGCTAGGACACCCCCTTTTTGCTGTTGGAATCGCAAATGAATGAGAGTTTTGCCAACTGTTTGGTTATAATAGTTACGTGGATTTAATCACTAGCCTACAGCAGAATGGACCACAGTATTACTCAAGGTCACTTGCGTTCATGTATACAATATCTGCAATTAGAGCAAAAGCTTTAGTCTTTGACAAGGACATAAGATAATATGTTGTCTGTTACGGATCTGCACGATAAGGTTGTACCAAACTTTAACACTATGCATTTGAAAAAATTCTACTCTAAAAGAAACGGGGGGTTCCATTAGATGTGTTTTATTTCTATGATAAACTGGTATCCTGTCATCCAATCAGACTGTGCCATTGCAGTTGTCAATACAGTATTTTATTATTTTATCACCATAGGTAAGAATGAGGATCACACCAAAAAGTCATGTACTTCCTTCTCTCCCCCCCCCACCATTTTAAGAACTTGAAAGCAGGGCAACACTTATATTTAAACCTGACTGCAGTTAGCACTGGTGAAGATGTACTGATACACTGTGGTAAGCAATAAAGAGGAAAAATAATTCAGGCATGAGTGACTGGACAGAAAAAGGTCACTCACAAGCAGTCACTGTGTTCGCACTCTTAACCCTGGACTAAAAGTTCTGAAGCTAAACTTTAACTGCTAGCTCTATATGACCTTCACTTTGCTCCAGGAGATAAATCGAATATATGTCATATATATACCGTATTTTTCGCACCATAACACACACTTTTTCCCCACAAAACATTGGGGTGGAAAGTCTGTGCGTCTTATGGAGCGAAGAAAACAGATTATATTTTCCTGTTTTCTTCTCCTAAAAAATTGGTGCGTCTTATGGAAAGGTGCGTCTTATGGAGCGAAAAATACGGTAGGTTTCTAGTGAAAAATGTAGAATCATTGTTTAGGGAAACCTGTTTGAATCTTGTTTTAGGAGTTTAAAGACTTTTCTTGCAACCAGTTTTCGAAGACACAGCATTTTGCTGAATTACAGAACCATATTCACATACTGTATGCAGCTGGAAAAAACCTGCACATTTAAGGGTTTGGGCTTTTGTGGAACACCTGAATTGCCTTTTAGAAATCAGTGTTCATTAGGAGAAACAGGTACTTCCAAAGAGGTTTCATGAAGCAACCTGAAATTATTAAAATTTGAAGCTTTATCAACATCAATAGCAGCCAGATTGCTATTGCTTCAGTTACTACTTGTTATTTGTGAAGAGTTGCTCCTGTTCTTGGAAAGTACAGTACAAGAGAAAACGCAGATGTATTTATTAAAACCCAACAGAAACCAAGGGCTGCTTCTGCTGCAATAACCTACATAATAAATGCTAAACTCCAAACAGTAATGCTAAGCAGAAGCGCTGTGAAAGAAGCCAAAGCCTGCCTTGTGTGAATGTGCACACATTTGCAACCCAAGCTAACACCAGCTGGAAAGATGGCACACATCTGCTTTATGAGATGACTATGTACCCATATACTCTAAACAGCCAAGGCTGCAGCATTGTCTGGAAATCATTAATTACCATGGAAAATATAGTTTCTGTCTTGTAATCTACATAAATCCATATCGTGACTAGAAAGATAGATGTAGACCAGATTCTATCTCCTACTATTTTTGTATCGTTTTGTTAATAGCTCATGGGGAAAGCGATCGTGTGATGAGAAATACTGCAGTGTGTAACATTTCTAGGTGTCGGGATAACTTTTCATTTACATCCTAACCTGCTCAAGTTTTTTATCTGCAGTTCTCTTAAATATACAGCTGTTACTTGCAAATAGCAGAACTAGTCTTGTTTACTGAAGAGGAAATAAATGGCATATTGGCTAGAAATTTAGTACTGTAAGTGCTTTGCTAGGTAGCCTTTGAATATGGTATTTTTAATTATAACTTTTTAGTGGGTTTTTTTTTAACTGAAAACTTTTCTTGGTGCCTTTGTCAGTTTTTCCTTACAAAGCTTAAAAGCAACCAAATACTGCATAGGCCAGACAGTGATGTGGAAAAAACAGCATCTGACCCTATGCAACCATGCTGAGCCGTGCCTGATTTCTAATGGTAAATTTATCTAAGCATAGTGATTAAGGGTAAGCATGACTAAACCTGGTAAGAAACTGCTGTCTACTCATCTCTCCATCGATGGAGACATTCTACACAAAGCATCAAAACCAGCCCTGTCTATCTAGTCACAGCATCTGCAAAATCAAATACAGTACAAGTTTATTGAACTATGTGCAGGCATTAGAGGCCCTCTGTTAGGGTAACAATATGGCTGCACTATTTTTCTGCACTATCTATAAAGGTGTGCTTGGCCTGAAGAAGTGGATTTCATCCACAAAAGCTTGCTATTTGTTTTTTTCAGTGGTCTAATAAAACTCACTCTTAAATTTTTGTAATACAGCTACAATGTGTCTGAGGAAGTGAATTTTGATCTATGAAAGGTAACACAGAAATTAAATTGTTAATCTATGGTGCTGCAATAATTTGTCCTTTTTTTTCTTTATCAACATGCTGATGCCAACTTTTTTGGATATGGCTTAGAAAAACATCTGACAAAGGTTTCCTAAGCACTCAAGAATACAGAATATGAGCTCTATATGGCTCTAGGCATTTCCTACTGTACCAGTGTTCCTTGGCAATTAACTTAGCAGGCTGTGTACGTGTACGCCCCAACGACCCTTTCCATGGCGTTCCAGGTAGTGAACACACAGAAATGGCTTACTATCCCCTTCTTCCAGGCCCCCCCTGGGACTTGCCCAAGGCCACACGGGCTGGCTCTACTTGCAGGAGGCACAGTAGGGAACTGAACCCGTACCCTCTGGCTCCACAGCCAAACCACTGAGCTATCCAGCCAGCTTATTTAGCAAGCTAGTTTCTGTAAATAAACTGTTTTTTAGGTCTAAATGGATCCAACTCATACCAAAAGGAAAAAAGAACAACTGTAATAAGGGAAGAAAGGTACACTTATTACAAACAAGATCATTTTTTTTTATTTTGGCACATGAAGGCAATCTACATACAAATGTTTTTCACAAAAAGTGGCAGTGACAAAGACCCAGCCTTTCATTTACCAAATGGGTTACAGCTACGTTGACAGTCATCTAGCACCAATATGTGGAGAAGGTTCCCATGTTTTTTCCATTTTTATTCATGCGGGGAACCTTAAATTGTCATCCTAAGCTGTCCACTGGCCGAGAAATAGTGTTTATTCCCTTAGGTGTGGCATCATAACCGGAACGCGGATTGCCGTAGCAATGGTGGCAAAAGCAAAGCGTGCTGCTTATATACTGTCCCACAGTGCTTCAAGCACTCTCTGGGCGGTTTACAAGTCAATCATGCAGGCTACACATTGCCCTCTCAGCAAGTTGGGCACTCATTTTACTGACCTCGGAAGGACAGAAGGCTGAGTTGACTACCTGGGATTGAACCCCAAGTCGTGAGCACAGTTCTGGCTGCAGTACAGCGGTTAAACCACAACTGCAGGCAGCACTACAAACCTCCAGACGTGGGGAAACTTCCTTCGCAAAGCGAGGTATTACTGTAGTTACAATAATGGGAGGTGAGACCAAGTTGTAAACAGATTCTAACAAAAAACTGTGAAGGTCATCTTGCTACCCAGTGTCTGTTCAGACATTAGTCTTATTCAGATGTTCAGAAGTTTTGTTTATTAATCAAAGCAGTCCCATCCCCTCTGTTTCTGGTGTCACTCTTCTCCAATGCCTGGGGAGCATTTAGTCTGAAGAGAAGAGCGCATGGTTCCAATTCATACAGAGTCCTGACAGAGGGCAGGCTCCCCTCGTCACACCTCCTGCTCTCCAAAAAAACAGATGGATAGAACCAGAGTGCTGCCCTCTACCTGTGTTGCGCAAATGCTATTTCCAAATGACTGAACAAGCTACTAGTGTGGACATACAGTATCTAGAACAGCAAATGATGTCCTGCTATATATGACTGGAGAAGCCAGCTTTGGCTAAGACAAATTATTCATTTTTATTTTAAAAGACAAAATGTTTTTAGCAACTCTAAGAATAACGTCTCAGGATGAAACTAATGCCATCAGCTGGGGAAACCAGTAATTACTAAAGTTCCAACAGGCAAAGGAAAAGCCAAGAACAGTGTTCTTATGAAGGTGTTAACAGGCACTAGAAATAAAAATGTTCACTGATATCTTAGCACTTCATGCCTCCATCTGCATAAGTGACCAAACAAGCCAAAGTCTTCAATTAATTCTAGATCCCCATTAATCCTAAATTCTAGTTTACAACTTTAGTACAAGCTAGGACATGAAATCCAACTTCAACCTTTATTGGCCTACTTGCCTTGTTCTGAATCCATTAACCACAGGTTTCCACTCTGGCCTAAACAGGAAATTATAGCTGACAAAATTCTTCAGGGCCTCCACACGCTCTCTTATACAAAGGAAAAGATAAAAGTGGCTGCATGCAGAGGGACAAGACACAGCCATATTTTGGCTTATTAAGCCAACTGATGAATTTAGACTCTTCCTAAAAAGCCTTATAAATGGCATCCAAGTGACTTATTGAGAAAATGTACAGCCAAGTACTCGGTATCAATTTCCTCATGATAATATATGTTAAACATCAAGCAGAAGCAACAGCTACATTTAACAAAATATAATTGTAAGTGCATCTGCATCAGATAGGTTGTTGAAGGATACAAGACAACTTTAACACTGATGCACCTATTCGAAACAGCTTCATTAATTTGCACCTCTTTATTTTTTGGGATGAGGCTCCCTTTTCAGCTCACCAAGTCATCCTGTCAACTGGATGAGCAACTAAGCAAAACAAAATGAATGTATCTTAAAGAATAAAATTCTGTGTAAAAAAACTATTTTTTAAAAAATAACCTTTGTTTTCACTTTTTTTTCTATAAAAGCACTGTGAAAAGGTTTTTCACATTCTGTTTTATGATACATATTTTCAAACTGGTAATCATTAAGGTGCTCTTCATTATGCTTAGGTTTTGGTGCAAGGATTAAAAGTTAATAACTCATAAAATGGGTTACAGGCATCAAAAGTTGCCAAATAAGGTTTGAAAAGGTGATGTGCATGGGAGTTTGCACCAAAAACAAGAAAGATGGCCTGGCAAGCACAATCTTAAAAAAAAATATTTACATGTTGGCTTTCCATAGGCTAAGATGCCTCTGATGAAATATAAAATCCTCAAGTAAAAAAAAAAATCACAAAATTCAGTAAGAGACAACAGAGCAAGTAGCAATATGCAGTAGCTCATCAGTCAATCAGCAGTCCCCTGCGCTATGGAAGAAAGGGCAGCTTTAGAGAGGCCGTTCCATGGCAATAACATAGACTACCTCATGAAAGCTGGCCATTGAGAAAGTAGCACTTTTGTCAGAAGGGTTAATTCCCAGGAAAATACCCTGGAAATAGGTAAAGGTCTTTGCAGAGTGTGCTACGGTACTCTGACATCTCCTTGCAGCGGTGGAACTCTGTGCCAGGGGCATGGCCTTCACGGTGCTTGATCAATCTGTTAACCTAAAAGGGAAGACAACAAAAAGGTGTTAATAATAGTACTGGTAACACTCGTAAATGAATGATACACAGTGTCAGGTCGGTTGCATCATTCTTCCCAGGAACCTTTGAGAAGGACACAACAACAGTGTTTTTAATTTTATTGATTCTTTTCCCCAAGCATGCAATACAGGGGTACAGGAGAAAAGGAAGAAATATGGTACCAGTTTCGATCTCTGAACAGAATACAAAACCACACAGAAATCAGCTGGGAGCAAGGAATAAAGGGGGATTTCCCACTCACCTTCACAAGCATGTCAGCCACATGTGTATTTCTGGAGTCCTCCGCAAACACAGAGGCGAGAGCCTCGACATACCAGGATCCACGTTTAGTATTTCTCATAGCGGCTGTGCCTGCAAACAAGTATCAAAGTCTATCAAAAGTAGAAGCACAGATACAAGATCGTCCACCAAAGTGGGGAACCAGCAGCTTTGTTCAAAGATTCAACAACTTTTGAACAGTTCACAGAACATAAAGATTAATATTACAACCCAAGATACCTTTCAGGCAGGCATATCCATAGATCATATCGGAGCAAGTGGGAAGGCGTAGCTTGGGATTCTCCATCATGTTGGCATCACTCTCTTCACAACCTGGGGAGTCAGCACGCTCACTGCCATCTATCTGGTCGACTCCCCGATCTGTCTCATCTAACAAGGCATAAAAAAAAAGAGCAAAAAATCAATTGTACAAAAATCTGTCAAGCACTTTTTCTGGTGATTTTATTTATCTTCCAGCTTTTACCCCACCCATCTAGATTCAACGAATCTACTCTGGGCGGCTTACATTCCGAATATAAAACAAAATTTAAAACAAACAATATCAGACAACATAGAGATAAGCAAAGACCAAGATGGTATGATTTAGGAAATTAAGAAATGGAGGGGGGGGGGAAGGCCTGCCTGAAGGACCAAGTCTTCAGCTTGTTCTTAAAAACTCCCAGCAAGGGTGCCAGGCAAATCTCCAGGGGGCAAGGTGTTCCAGAGGCAAGGGGCCACCGCCGAGAAGGCCCGGTTTCTATTTCTCTCCTTCCGGGCTTCTCTCGGGGTCAATGCCCTCAGCCGCCCAGCCTGGCTAGATCGAGTGACACGAGTAGAACTAGTATTTCTAGCCAGCACTCTGCCAGGTATCAAGGTCCTAAACAATTTAGGGCTTTATATGTAAGCATTAATACCTTGAAGTCAATGTGGAAATGAATGAGCAACCAGTATTTATTTATTTATTTGATTTATACCCTGCCCATCTGGCCTATAAGGCCACTCTAGGCGGTTTAAGGCCACCAGAGTGGGGGAAATGCGATGGTATTTTTTCACCCCAGTTCACAATCTGGTGGCCGTGTTCTGGACCATCTGAAGCTTCCGCATCAATCTCAAAGACAGCCCCACATAGAGCGCATTACAGTAGTCTAATCTTGAGATTACGAGTGCATGGACCACCCCAACATCAAGATAGGAGCGCAGCTGGGCAATCTGCCAAAGATGTAGGTGGGCAGTGCTGGGTCAAGATGGACCTCCAAGCTGTGGACCACTCTCTTTGTGGCGAGAGTCACCCCCCCCCAAAAGAGAGAGGGAGCTTTCTGAGTTTAGTCGGACATTTAATCCACATTAGGATTACCTCAACACACAACATTGGTACATTCACAGCATGGATACAGATAAGGATTAATAAACTAGGTATAAACTATGCTCATGTGGAGGGTAGCCATGGCAAATCAGAATGCGACTACTGACAACTCTGAGTGCTACCTTGTCTCTTTCTATGCTTACTGCATTTTTGTTCCTAGGAGGTAAAAGTGCCCAGTGGTCATAAGATGCTCTCCAACTTTATTTTGGGGGCAGAGGTGGTGGCTTCAAAGTGAACTTATAATTGCAAAAGCAGACATATTCAGTGGAACTCCTTGAACATATCACATTTCTGCTAGGTATTAAATCACAAGGACCCAAATCCTACTGAGTTTTATGCCAGTGTAACACTACGGGTATAAATCTCATTGGCAAACAGCCAAAAATCAAGAAATTCAGGTAGGCATTTGCCATTATACACCAAGCTGCATGACATGGTACACAACAGCAAATGCCAATACTAACCTGTGGCAATTTGCTGTCCAGATTTACCCCAACAGCATTACACTGGCAGACATAACAGAATCTTGACCACTATTTAACTGTGATTTTTAACTGCATATTGTTACGTGCCATCAAGTCACCCCCAATGTATAGCGACTGTATGAATGAGTGATTTCCAACATGCCCTGCTCAAGTCTTGTAAACTCAAGCCTGTGGGTTTCTTTAGTCAGTCCATCTCACATTTGGTCTTCCTCTTTTCCTGCTGACTTCCACCATGCCCAGCATTATTGTCTTTTCAAGGGAATCCTGCTTTCTCATGATGTGCCCAAAATACTATAGCCTCAGTTTCAAAATGTTTGCCTCCAGAGATAGTTCAGGATGGATTTGGACTAGGACCCACTTAAGTCCTTCTGGCAGGTCCAGGGTATCAGCAAATCTTTTCTCTAGTATATTTCAAATTAATCAGTTTTTTTTCTGTCAGTTTTACTGCCCTGCTTTCACACCAATATATGCTGATTGGAAATACGAGTGTGGATGATCTTGGCCTTGGTCTCCAGTGAAACATTCCTTACACTTGATATCTTCAAATTCCTTCACTGCTGCTCTTACTAGTCTCAAGTCTTCTTCTGAACTGCGTATTATACATCAAAATTGTCTTCCCTCAAGTATATACACAAACTGCCCTTTTAATGTACTATTATAGGCTGCACAACAATCAGTAGTCCTTGGAAGTATCATAGAGTCATAAAATAGTGAAGTTGGAAGGGGCCTATAAGGCCATCAAGTCCAACCCCCTGCTCGATGCAGGAATACAAATCAAAGGATATCTGCCAGGTAGTTGTCTGAGTTTTTCTTGAATGCCTCCAGTACTGGAGCACTCACAACTTCTTGAGGTAATTGGTTCCCCTTTCCTTTTCATATCCAATTTCTATACACTACCTGCCACATGTTTACTGTTATAATATTCCTATGCAGAGTACAAATTGGATGTTATGGAAACATCTAAAACATCTTTAGAAGACACAAGTGTAATTCAGAAAACACTATTTCAATCTGCCTAAACACAACCTGCTCTCCTTGAAGCTGTCATTCTCCCACAGGATTTGGTGGTAAATCCAAATATGAAATAGCTCTTTTTTGAATTAGAGAGGTAATTTAATTCTCTCTGTACAACTCTGAATAGCAGTAATAGTCTTCTGACCTGCTGTTCAAACATTCAGTGACTGCTGTCGCTGATTATTGCTATTCTGAATGGTCGGAGTACTAATTTGTTTTTACTTTTTTTTTACTTATAACAGTTCAGGCTTTACTTGAACTGTTATAAGTAACAGCCTGTTAATTTTAACGTGACAAATTTTCCAGCTCTGTACCTAGTCTATAAAAGACTTTATTTCTGTATTGTATGAGTCTGTCTGTGACATGATGACTACTGTACCTCATATTAAGTTGCTTATCATGAAAGGCCAATATGTTGACTCCACAAACCATAATTCCTCTGTGTATGTTGTGTAGACAGTAAAGTTTTAATCGTAAATTTCAAACCTATGTCATTTTCATGTGTTTATGGTTGGTTTACATCATTTCACCTGTCCTGTTTATGTAAAAATCAGCAAAAGGGTTGTATAAATAAAATTTATTATGAAACAACAGGTGTATATAATGTACTGTACATAGTTTAACCCTATTCATTGTCCACTTGGTGCTTCTTGTCTTGTCTTTTGTGTTCATTAAATGGAGCATCTCTCATCACTTACAATAGTCTCTTGCAATAGTCTGCAAGCACTGATGGGCTCCATTTGCCCTTATAGCATTTTTCCATTATTGCAATGCCCTGATTAAATAGCATACAGTGCTCATCACTCACTGCTCCACAGTTTGGTGAAAGAAAATCTAGATGAGAGTGCAAAAAATGTATCTTTAATGGCATGTTGCAACCAAGGCTTTTGTATGCCTTGAGGTGGTTTTCCACCACAAACCTGTAGTCTGCCTTGCTGTTTCTGAGAAATTGTATTGCCACTAACTGGAAGGCTTTCCATGCTGTCTTTTCCTTGCCATGCAGTGCATGGCCAAACACATCTTCTCCAACAAAGACACCTTCCTTTAGCTCCGCTTAACCTTGGAAACTTCCCATGGGGGTACCTGAATGCTACTTGTGCTTTGTCTCTGGCCTTGACAAAGTTCTTCATCAGATCCAGCTTGATGGGTAAGGGTGATAACAAAACCTTCCTTGAGCCAACAAGTGGTGGATGCTGAACTCATTTCCTGCCAGGCTCCAATGACTGTCAGAGTGGCCAGTTTATCTTGATGTAGTGGGACTCTCTTGCACAGCTATCCCATTCATAAAGAAAACAGCAATACTTTGTGTATCCAGTCTGCAAACCAAGCAAGAGAGCAACAATCGTCAAATCGCCACATAGCTGCTGTTTATGCACCTCAAAAGTCGTTTCATATTGTCATACGTTTCCTTCATATGGACTGCATGACCAACTGGAGTTGATGACAAAACATTGTCATTAAGCGGCAAAAAAGGTCTAAGACTCTTCAATGAATCAATGAGTAGTCTCCACTCTTCTAGATCATGAACGATGTTGAGGGCTGCCATCACATGATCAATGTTGTTGCAGGCTACAAGATCACTTTTCATGAAGAAGAATGAGACAAGATCCTTTTGGCAGAAACATCACCTGCCAGATTCCCCAGCTGTAGTCTGGAGCCCAACAGCCTTGCCTTACTCTTGGGTAGTTCCAAATCCCTGACAAGGCCATTCAGCTTACCTTGTGTTATGAGGTGTGATTCAGAGGAACAGGATGGGAGAAAATGTGGGCCCTGTAACACTGATGGTTCAAGACGAGAAGTTTCATCCTCTTCCTTGTCTGATTCAAGTGAGAATAATTCTGGTATATCAGGAAGGGACCGTCCTTCCCTGTGGGGTACTGGCCGTATAGCTGATGGAATGTCTGGATAACGCAGAGTCCACTTTTCCTTCTTTGACACACCTTTCCGAACTGGAGGCACCATGCAGACGTAACAACTGCTGGTATGTTCTGTTGGTTCTCTCCAAATCTTTGGCATCGCAAAAGGCATAGATTTCCTTTTCCTGTTCAACCACTGGCAATGATCTGTTGCACGAAAGTTGCAGCATATCTGTGGGTCCCACCTCTAGTCCTCCATCTCCAGTTTTGCAACCAAAATAAAGGCAATAGGCGTTCTTAACCATAGTGGTTATACTATGCTTTTGTGATGCAAAGGCCACTTCACCACAAACATAACAGAAATTACCTGCACTGATCACACAAGTACGAGGCACCTCTGCTCGCTTTGGCTAAACAGAATTGTTTCCCTTTACAAAATGAAACACTGATAAATAAGATAGCTCAATACTGTATAATTTCTAGGGTGATTTGTTCAGCAGAGTGATGTAAACTTCATTAAGACTACATCATCTATGACTTCTAGGAATAACACAATAATGTATAATATAATACGAAGTATAATTCACTGTTTTGCCTAAAAAGCAAGTACTATCGAAACCCAGCTATAGATTTGTCCATAGATCCAGTCGAAAATGTATTTTATAGTTATTTCTGGTTTAAACTGAGATCCCTTCTCTTTATCTTCCGCTATTCCCAAGTCATGGGTCATATATACTGATCCAATTGCATATCTTCAAAACTAGAACCAGTCAACAATTTTAAGTATCATTTTTGTTCTACATTTGACTACATTTATTTAAGAAACATTTTGGCTGTAGATCAATGAAATGGGTAGGTGGGGTTAAGCTCTGTGGGAGCTGCAAGGCTTTATGGGTAGAGATGGACCAAATTAATTTGGTCGCATCTCTTGTTTATGTGTGTGGCATTCTTTGTCCCTTGGGTTCTGCATAGCAAACCTCTCTCTCTTAGTTAAAAACAAACAAAAACCAAAAGAAATCAAATAAAAATTGTTAGACCCATAAACCCTTATTGATCCCACAAAGCTTAACCCTGTCCATTTACTGAAAATGGCTGCCAGAATATGGAAACATCTGTTAGGATTTGATTAAACCTTCCAAAGTCTGGCTATGGGGGTGGGGTGGGGATGCCTTCAGACTTCTGAAGACTGTAGTTCATGAATTCTGAAAATACCATGCCCATGGACTAAACAGGGGAGAGGATATAGCTGCTGGTACACAAGATGCAAAATGAATGTCTGATGCTGCAGGACACATAATTGGAACGTGGTATGTGCGAAGTATGAATCAAGACGGCAACAATAAAATGAAATTCAATGAAGCAAGTGCTGCAAACCTGGTTGTCATTATTTTCTCTCACCAGTAATGAACTTGAAAAATGGACCTGAAACTGGCAAATGGATAGTTTTGACCTAAAATAAGATAAAATCCTTGCAACTAACTTGCTTTAGAATCAGAAACTTCCCTTTGCCTCTGAGACATCACTTTTGCCCTAAAGACTGCAAAAGTTAATCCCAATAATCCTTTGGACATAATTATTCAACGTATTCCCCACTCAAACAAATATGCAACATTTGGCAGATAGTAGACTAAATATAGAATCTGCCTAGGGGAACCGCCACAGGAAGCAAAAGTTTTCCTACTTTAGAGCAATTAACTATTACAGGTTACTTGTTAAAGGAAGTACTAGAATCTTGTTTATTCAGTTCAGAAGTCTGCCTTGTTCACCTTCCTGGGAAAAACACGGCAGTACTGTCACTTTGTTGTGCTCATAATGAATATTTTTCCTCATTTCATTAGACTCTGTTGTCATCTTGAACTGCACGTCCTCTTTAGAGCATTATCTTACTAAACAGCTAGATTTTTATATAGTAGGACCCCCTTATCCGCTGATTCACTTAGACACAGTCTGAAAATATTAAAAATATTAAAAGAAAAAAAATCCAGAAAAAACTATTTTCATATGTATTACCAGAATTGGCCACTAAACAAGAGACAGAGACCGTGCTATAAATACTTGTTAGTGAAGAATACATAGCATGGTCTCTGGAATCCTTTAGTGGCCAGTTCTGGTAATGCATGTGAAAATATAGGACCCCCTTATCCGCTGATTCACTTAGACACAGTCTGAAAATATTAAAAATATTAAAAGAAAAAAAATCCAGAAAAAAACTATTTTCATATGTACTACCAGAATTGGTCACTAAACAAGAGACAGGGACCATGCTATAAATACAGTGGTGCCCCGTATAGCGAGGAAGAATACATAGCATGGTCTCTGGAATCCTTTAGTGGCCAGTTCTGGTAATGCATGTGAAAATAATTTTGTTCTGTTTTTCTCCCTCTCACCATGCACTACGCACCATTCCAAGAAGGAACTGGTAAACCATTTGTGAGTATTCTCCAACTGCCAAGAGAAATGCAGCATAACAGTGCACCCACCCACCCAACCAATCAAATAGTCTATATCTAAACATCCCTGGAAATAGTCAACATACATCAGAAATAACTTGAGGACATGCATTTAGGAGTAATGCACATGAAGAGCCTGAAATTCTGTACCCAGTTGACATAAGATTTTGGGGAGTCTTCTTGAACAATTTGGATCTCATTGAGATGAAAAAGTCTGAAAAGATATTTACAAGATACTGGAATAATTTGAGGGACCATTACAAACAAGCCAACTATATATTTTTGTCTTTTTAACATGTTTGCAAACTTGTGGAACTTGTTTTTAAAAAAATTTAAAATAGCTTTTGGAGCTCTATATAACAACATCTCTCCATTTAATTCTCTATCAGATGTTGTGAACATTGCTGCTATTAAAAAAGGCAAAGGGAAGGTATAGTCTGTCCTCACAATTATATTCCCAAAGAGTATTGACAGTTGTGAAGCTTAAAATAGTATATTATATAGGAACAGTTTAAATATATTTTTCAAGGAAGACAATTTTGGTGTATCACAAGTAGCTCTGGAGCTCCAGGAGACTATTTATCCACATAGCAGCTAATAACACTTCACAAATGTGCACCTTTTGCATCATCTACGCTGCACCTTTTGCATCCTACTCCTACAAATTACATGAAACTTTTTCAGATGCTCTGAAGACTCAGGAGGCCCTACCTACTAGAAAATGTAAAAAAATTGAAGCCACAAATTTGACACAAAATTTAAACTGCTCTTTACATGCAAAGTGTCCTGTCGATAATTTTTCACCCAAGGCCACCAGGATTATTCCCTCAACACACATAAGATTCCTTAGTCCCAAAGGAACTGATATTCCTTTTCTAATAATCTTTCCCCAGTTTTGCTGACAGCCTATAAAAGCATTCCAAGCACACTCTTTGAAAGATTCAATATGGATTTTGCTGGGTATATACAGGAATAAGGAAAGATCTAAGCATGCATCAAACACACCTGGAGGAGGCTGAGCAGGCCTTTTATTTACCAAAAAACTGAATAGTGGATCTTAATAGAACTTAGAACTTCCTTACCAGGAATTTACTAATGACTTCTTACTTCCTGAGAAGACAGATGACTTTTGCTACTACCTTTAAAGCAATTACCAATTCAAAAACACTTAAACTCATTTCTTGGCATCAGAAATCCACTGAATACCTTTTCTAAGTCACAGAAAAACAGTACATATTGCAGTTATACTAGGTATTAGCAAGAAGGCCTGGATTCATATCCCCACTTGGCCACAAGGAGATGAAGCAGGGAAGAGTTGGGGCATATACACTGCCTTGAGATCACTAGAGGAAAGGTGGTATATAAATACAACAACAACAATAATACATTCAACTTCTCTCTTTGTATTTCGGAATCCCTTCTAAGAAACCTGAAAGAGCTGAAGACAAGTAAGTTGTCTTGCAAATCCTCTATCATTTTTATGCTAGTAGTGGGATGATTTAAGATCTTCAGGATTTAATTTGTTTTTTTTATTACAATCTCAAAATTCATCAACTAAAACAAGAAACAAAAGCAATGACCTTAAAACGTACAAATGATGAGCCCCAGAATTCATTTGTAATACAAAACTAAACATGCAGTCCTTCTACATAAACACAAATCACTCCTAGTTAAAAGCTATCCCTCTGCTTTCTTCACTTCAGTAGTATAACTCAGTGTTTTATGGGAGGAAAGGTCCTTTTGTTGTTGCCATTGTTGACTAATGGGGTCAGAAATCTCTGCTGATTTAGTTTAAATCCTATAGAGATCTACCAGCACATCCTAATCTACGTTTCGTCAACCCTCAAGTCCTATAACAGTTATGGTCTTTTGAAACAGAATATGATCTTCCATATCCATGTTCTTCTGTGCTTCTGAACCCTTCCTTCTCTTCTTAAAAACTGAGAAAGCCACGGATACTTTTTCCCCTATGCTGCATGGAATTGTTTGCACAGCTGAAGACAAATCTAGTATTCCACTGGTGCCTGCAGTAGAATTCCTCTCTCTCTCTTGCTTTCTCTGCTGCCCCTTGAAACGGGCCCAATGAGTTTCCCAGCCCTCTAGCGTTAGTTTGGAGCGTGCATTGGAAGGATTAACTACAGTACTCCTCTCCAGTTTCACCAGATTTCACTGGAAAAATCCCAGCACTGGATACTGCTCCCTGCTCCCTATCTGAGTGTAAGGAACCTCAGAATGGCCAACATTTTGAGCAGAATCTCCTTTCAAAGGAATCTGCTTGGGTGCTACAGATGGGAGGCTTCATTCAAGATGGGTAACTGGCTGTTGTGTCATTCATGACTCCAATAGACTGAAAAGGTCAAAAGAAAATAAAACAAAAACAGCCAACCAATCCAGACCAAAGAGGAAAAACAGTAGCTAAGAAGCTGCAGATAAAATTTCCATGCTAGACAGTGATTAGTGTGTCTAACTGCCCCATTCCACACATGCAATACAGGGGAATTACTGGAAAGCTCCCCTTCTCCTTTTCCATGGTAGAGCAGGGTCTGCAATTTGCTGACCACATGCCATGCAGAGTGAGAAGCACTTACAGAGAGAGGTAGTGGCAACAGCAAGGCAGGGTGAATGTGGGTTCCGCTTATACCTGAGAGAAGCAAAGAGGAGAGTTGAACGCAAGCCGTGTAGAAGGGGGACTGTATGTGAAACATAGGTCTCCATGCCTCACCCTCTCCGCATGACTTACCTCCTCGGCATGCTTGAATGAAGAACATTTTGGGTTTATTCTGCAGATTAGGGCAGTTTGCATTATCAAAAAGCCTGAAAACCTCCTGCAACTGTGAACAAATGGGCAGAAACTAAGCACTTTTAAAACCAAAGAGCATCTGATACAAACCAGATTTTTATGACAAGAAAATAAAATCTTCCATTCATGCTTTTTAATTTTGCTTCTATCTTGATATACTTTATTTCCTGTTGCTTTTTAATTTTGGTACTCTCACATCATATTTTATTAAGCAATTTCCCAGGAATTATTTATGTTGAAGAGTGGCTCTTTTTCTAAATAAGCAGGCAAGCAAGTGCAACGTTTTCAACAGCATGTCAAAATCCACTCTGCCTCAATTTTTCCATTTTCTTGTTTTCAAATTTCCTCAAATACCTCCAAATTCTATTTCAGACCAGAATCTAATCACAATTTTATGTGATTAAAAATGTTACCATCTCATTTATTTATTTAGTTATTTAGAATGTTTATATGTCATTTTTCTCCTAAAGGATCCAAGGCAGCTTATAGTATTAAAAGAGAAAGAGTTAAAAGTTAAATTATTACAACATCAAGAAGAATTAAGCTAGTATCATATATTTGTTTATTTCTTTATATTTATAAAATTTACAAATAAGAACAATATCAAAAGCAAAAGTAAAACAACAGATTACGATAATCCCTTTAAAAATCCCCTTGGTCAACCAATCGTTTAAAGGAAAGCCTGCCTGAAGAAAAAGGTATTTTGGTTGTTGTGGGTTTTTTGGGCTCTTTGGCTGTGTTCTGAAGGTTGTTCAGAAGGAGAGATTATCTGTCACTGTGGTTGATGGGTGTGGTTGACAGTGACAGATAATCTCTCATTATCACAACAATACATCCACAACAAGACACACTAATCACCCATCTACAGAAAAAGACAAAAGTCCATCTCATAGCCATAAATACTCCACTCCCAAGCCAACTACACCAGAGCACAGAGTGCTGTCCTCTGAAGATGCCGGCCACAGAAACTGGCGAAACGTTAAGAACAACCTTCAGAACATGGACAAAGAGCCCAAAAAACCCACAACAACCATTAGATCCTGGCCATTAAAGCCTTCACAAATACAAAAGGGTCTTTGTCTGCTTGTGGAAGGATGACAAAGATGGGGCTTGTCTGGACTCTCATGGGATGGAGATCCAGAGTATGGGAGCAGTGACAAAGAAGGCCATTTCCTGTGTCCACACCAAATGTTCCTGTGAGGGTGGTGGGACAAAGAGAAAGGCCTCTCCTGATTATCTTATCAGGCAGGCTCATAAAGACAGACAGAGTCTCTGAGACAGCTTTTGACCTAAGTCATTTAGGGCTTTGTAGGTTAAAACCAGCACTTTCAATTGTGTCCGGAAATGGGTTGGCAGTCAGTGGAGCTGCTGTAACAGAGGGGTTATGTGTTCCCTGTAAGTAGCCCCACTTAACAATTTGGCTGTGGCATGTTGGACCTGTAATCCAGCTGAGATATAATTAAAGCATGTGTCACGTGTGCCAGATCAGACATCTCCAGGAAAGGGCACTGCTGATGCACTAATTTTAATTGTGAGAAGACACTCCTGGCCACCACTGAAACCTGGGCATTCAGGCTGAGAGACAAATCCAGGGGCACACCCAAGCGGCCCATGTGTCTTTTCAGAGGGAGTGAAACCCCACCCTGTATCACTATCCATACTTCTACATAACGGAAGAATATCAAATGGAAAGTTACCTGAAGTAGCTTGCCATCCACACCATATACCCCACCTTCTATGCCATGGGAGAGAAGAGATACAATGCAGGAATCTACATCTCGATGAGCTGGAAGTTTTGAAAATTTTTCCAATACTCTATGCATTTCCTGAAAAAGAAATTATATGGAAATACCTAGCACTGCACATAGCAATTAAGTGACAAATAGCAATCAAGTGAACAAAGTAAATAAAGTTATGTACCAATCAGGAGAAAAATGGACAGCTGAACAGTATATTCTCTGAACAACTTCATAACTTGAAAACAGATTGAGGGTTTATTAATAACCAAACTAGATGAATATGGGTCCATACATTTTACAGGTTTTTAAGTTTAAAAAAGCAACATGGACATGTTTCAAATGAATGCCACTGAAGGGCAGATCCGTCTTGAGTCACAGTGACTTCTTCTGCATTTCTACTCTTCAAGTGTTAAGGGTCTTTTAGCCATCCCTCCTCATACCTAACAAGCTTGCTTCTTCAGTGAGGCTGTTGATGGTCTGGAATCAGGTCTCCACTACACTAATGCAGATCTAGAGACTGGCTTCTTCTAAGAAAGCAGCTAAGACTAATTTTTATTGCCAAATCTGTGTTTTAATTTGGTCCTTCCTCTGCAGTATTTTTATTGCTGTTGATTTTATTATTACTTTTCAAACTATTTATGGTTTCTAACAATTAATAAATACATTTCTTCTTACAATCTTAATAAGATGCATTTACAAGAATCTGTACAGTGGTGCCCCGCATAGCGACGATAATCCGTTCCGAAAAAATCGTCGCTATGTGGATTCGTCGCTATGCGGAGCAAAAAAGCCCATAGGAACGCATTAAAACATGTTTAATGCGTTCCTATGGGCAAAAAACTCACCGTTATATGGAAATCCTCCATGTGGCTGCCATTTTTGCTGCCCGGTAAGCAAGGGTGGGCGGCCATTTTGTTTACCCGGCGGCCATTTTGGAACCGCCAATCAGCTGTTGGAAAAACATCGTTATGCGTTAATCGGTAAGCGAAACAGCTTACCGGTCATTACAAAGTGATGTTTTCCCATTTAAAACATCGTTATGCGATCGCAAAAACTAAATCACTATGCGGATTCGTCGTTAAACGAATTGCTCGTTAAGCGAGGCACCACTGTATTTTGCTTCAGGGAAGTAGAAACAGCTGTACTGTGCGAGTGAGAAAGGACAGCATAAGGAGAAGACAACAAAAGGAAAGAGTATTTACAAAACTGAAATACAGCCTGGGTAGCCATAGAATTTATAAGTTACCATACCCACACTAGAAGGTTGCTGGTGGTGGGATACCATCAAAGGATTGAGATGTCAGGGCACTGGAGATGTAATAACATAAATGTACCCTCAACCCCTTTCATATGTTAGTCTTGGCTATATATGTAATATTCCCAAAAGATGTTCTTCATGGTTGTTGTGGGTTTTTCGGGCTCTTTGGCCGTGTTCTGAAGGTTGTTCTTCCTGACGTTTCGAGTTCCTACTCCAGTCCTCTGAAGATGCCGGGCACAGAGACTGGCGAAACGTCAGGAAGAACAACCTTCAGAACACGGCCAAAGAGCCTGAAAAACCCACAACAACCATTAAATCCCGGCCGTGAAAGCCTTCGCAAATACATTAGATGTTCTACAGTTTGTCAAGTAGGGTCTGGAACCTATAGTGCAGTATTATGTAAATATTATAATAATATTAAGTTATGGTCATAAAACTGACTCAAAATTGCAGGAAAAGATTTCCTACAGCTAAAATCTTCACTGCAAAATACCAGAAACAAATATAATTATCAATTAAAACTGAGAAGAGGATAAATAATTTAAATAATACAGTATAGATTTTCTGGAGATCCACTCGAAAGAAACTGGTTGAGGGACTTTAGGACAGGGAGTATTAGTAATGTCAGAGTTATAATAGGAGTCCCTCTATTCTTTTGGTTTCTGTTTTAAATCTGTAAATTCTTGCAATAGGAAATCAGTATCCAACTACTGCACAGTAATGAACCATGATCAGACATCATTTGACTAACCAGGATATTTTATGTAGATTTCTACTATTATGAGAGAGAAATCTATTTTACAATGCAGAAAATAAGAATTCACTAATAAAACAGTAAGGATGAAAAATGATAAACTATAAGTGCTACCCCTTAAAACAAAACAAAAAAACAACAAAAAACCCACAAACCAGAAAAAACCTAAACAATGCTACCCAGACTAAATTTCATTTTCTAGACAATTATAATAATAAAAATCCAAAACAGAAAAAATAATAAAAAACACAAAATGTTTAAATGTTTTCTTCACTATAACCTTTTCCTTCTAGGAATGATGCCAGTTGTTAAATTTAATGTAATCTGCCAGTTTTAGAACAAACGTTCTGGGATATTTTTATAATGTAGTTATTCGTCACACCCTTCCCATTTTCCAATCTCACCTGTGCAGTCAAATCATTTTTTACAATCACCCGGTATCCAAGATGTTTGAAGAGCATATTCAGGGTAGCATTGTCCACATTTCCACCAGAACGGAACTCCAGATCTGTCTCAGTGCTGAAATGCACATTGCTAAGTATGAGCGCCATGCCCCGTGGGCATGATTTCAACTTGTATGCCTGTGAAACATAGATAATTTTGGTGGGTCAGGTTTCCTAGTACATATGATTAACAGTAAAATCACTAGATACTTTAAAATGTTACACAACTGGAAAGCTAAGGCACTTAGGCAATTCCATGTGAATAAGGAATAACGTGAAGGTCACAAACGTCTCCCACCCAAAAAGGAAAACTTAGTCTGCTTACCTGATCGTCATGGGCACGATAGAATTCTGGGGTGCATGGCTTCACCTGAGGATAGTGAGGGCCATCTCCATCATCCAAGGAATGTTCCATTGACTCTGCTGAAGACAGAAATGGATAACCAACATGGAAACGGCCAGCAGGAAAACCTACAGTTTCTGTGTAGATTTTAATTCTCTATTCAAAATAATTTGGGGGATATACATAAAAATTAGCTGATAAATTTTTTACTCAAAACAAGACCCCACTGACAGAATTAAACAGTTTTAAAGCATATTGCTAAATAAATGTTTACTTGATTTTGCCTTGCTGAAAGCTTAATCTCACCAAGATTCATGCATCAAATTTTAATGCAGGATGGCACTCACATTGGTTAAGAAACATGAGTATGATTTTGTTATATCAAAATTGATTTGATCTAGGATCTTTTTCCACTGTCAGTTCCTTATGATTTCAGAACAACTTTCTTTGTTATAGTTAGCAATTAATCCCAAGCCTCTGATCACACAGATCAGGGCAAGTCAAAAGATTATCTAAATGTAATTCTTAAGCATTTTGTTGATGATGCCAGCAAAATCTGAAGCATCTACACTTTGGGGTCAAAATTACACACAAACAAGACTTTGTGTCCAGGTTCCATAAAAATACACATTCAGTACTAAGGGATGAGAAGGTGGCAAGACATGTACTGGGAGAAGATGGAAAGACTCATATTATTTTCCTTAGGCATCTAGAATACTGTCACGGGTGAAGATCAGTTCTATTGTTTCTGTGCATCTGTCACCTTCTTGACATTTCTTAAAATCAAAACTATTAAAGCAACCCACAGCGTTAAATAACTACAGTACATGTATGTAGAACTCTCATGTTGGGAACATGTTCTCAAACATATTCATTCATTCATTTATTCATTCATTCACATTTACATCTTGTTCTTCAAAAATCAGTGTTCCTCTGGAAGAATCAGGTCTTTGAAGAGTATGTATGAAACACAAATTCCACAATAGACAGGATAAATATGACATTGAAGGACTATCTCACACACAAGTCTTAAAAATGGTACTCTATGAAAGAAACTATAGAGAATTTTTAAAATGAAAGTGCAGATAGCATTATTTCACAAGTTGTATCTAAACAACAGATTATCAATTACCCAAATTAGATTCCTAATTCATTACATCTATTTTTGTTTGCATTTTTAAGAAAACATTTCAACCTCAAACTTCTCTTTTATTTTTGAAGGGCCGCAGCTTCTTTGGGTTATACAAGACGTGTTGGTTGTTTGAGTGTACACCTCCACAAGGAAACATAACATGGGAATGGATGACTACTAGTTCACAACTATTTCCATGATTCAGATGACTTCTGGAAGTGTCTCTGAGTTCATGTATTATGATGGCCAGACAGTATACACTTCTGAACTGAGCATCATTTCCTTAAAAGAACAGGCAGTTGCCTCACCTCAGAAAACATGTATTTAGAAAGGGGAAGCTCCTAAAGCTTAAAACGGTGTGTAGAATGAATGTAAAAATATTCTGAGTAAGTAAATGAGGAAGTGCCATCAAGTGGTTAGCAAAGTAAAAACAAGAAATCTTTGAATCAGAAAAGCCGTCTCACACAAATCCCTTACTTTAATTGTCTATATTTTTCACTGTTATGGGCTACTAAAAAATTCAGGTTTGCCTGTGTGCCCTAAGGTACAACTGCATTTTACAAAAACAACAACACTCTTTTGAAGATGAGCGTAATAGAATAAGAGAAACATACAGTATATTGAAGGTATTTCTTTAATTTTTTGCCTGTTTATTTTGTAACAGGAAATGGTAAAGAAAAGTTTTTAATCACTGCTACTAAAACAGATGCACTCTATAATAAACTTACCATGATTCCAACGTCGCTTTTTTGGAGAGATTCCCGATTCAGACACAGGAAATGACAGACTTTCCTCATAGTCATGACTCAACTGAAAGAAATCACACATCGGTACAAAGTCATGATGCTTCAGATAATTTCAGGTGCTGAAACTAAGAAAAAAGAACCATACAGATGGAAAAGGAAGGATATTCCACGCTATTCATCTATGCCAGTGGTTCCCAAACTTGGGTAACCCAGGTGTTCTTGGACTACAATTCCCAGAAGCCTTCACTAGCAGCTGTGTTGGCTGGAGTTTTTGGAAGCTGCAGTCCCAGAACACCTGAGTTACTCAAGGTTGGCAACCAATAATCTATACCATGCATCTATTCTACATCGTGGCTATAGTAGTTTCCAAACTTGGGGCCACACATGTTCTTGAACAGTAAGTCCCAGAAGCTCTAACTACTGGCTGTACTGACTATGTTCAACAATTGTGAACCATTGATCTAAAAGATAACTTATATTTACTGAATTTAGACTCCCAATAAAATTCTTTGTCATCTCTGAAGTGATTACTTCCAACCAGGTGGTTGGAAGTACTGCCCCTCCATTAAAAAAAATATAAATGAACATGGACATCATAGTTGGGACAAAGTAAACAGAAAAATTGAATAATGGTGTTGGAAGTGGCCTATGAGGCCATTTGAATCCAAATCGGTGCTTGATGTAGAACCCAAGTTAAAATACAGATTGCTTTCTAGCTTTCTCTAGAATGCCTCGTGTTGGGAGTGCTCACCACTTCCAGAGGTAATTGGTTCTATTTACATTCTGCTCTATCAGTTATGAGGTTTTTTCTGATATTCAGCTAAAATCTGGCTTCCTTTAACTTAAGCCCATTATTATGTATCTTGCATTATGGAGTGACTGGGAGTAGATCCTGCTCCTCCTCTCCATGGCAACCTTTCAAATATTTGAAGAGTGTTGCCAGTCTTCTCTTCTCAAACCGAAACACATCCAGATCTCTCAGTCTTTCCTTACAGGGCTTAGTTTCCAGTCCTCTGATCCTCCTTGTTGCCCTTCACTGTACAAACTCTAGTTTATCTGAATCCTTCTTAAAATGTGGTGTCTAGAACTAGACACAGTACTCAAAATGAGGCTTAAGCAGTGCCAAATAGAGGGGGACTGGTACACCTCACAGGATTTGTAGATTATACTTCTGTTAATGCAGCCTAAAACAGAATTTGCTTTTCTTGCAGTCACATAATGTTTGCTCATATCCAGTTTGTGGTCTACAACAATTCCAAGATCCTTCTCTCATGTAGTATTACTGAGTTAAGTACCCCACATCTTCTAACTGTGCATCTGGTTTCTTTTTTTAGCTACAGAACTTTGCACTTATCCCTCCTAAATTTCATTGTTTTCAGCCCACTACTTGATCCTATAAAGTCTCTTTAGTTTTCACCCACTACTTGATCCTATAAAGTCTCTTTAAAATAGTGTTGAAGAACACTGGGCCCAGGACTGTATCTTGTGGCACCACACTTGTTACCTCTTCCCAGTTTGGGAAGGAACCACTGATAAGCTCCTCAATTCTATTACTTACTGTGTATTCACTTATAGTTGTTCTATCCAGCCCACATTTAGTTACCTTGCGAATCAAGAGTAACATGGGACACTATGTCAAAAGCTTTGCTGTATACATTACCCCCACAAATAGATCAAATGATTCAGTATTGAACTGTGGGCTTCCACTAACATTGACTCTATAGACTGACATTCCCTCCCTTTCTCTCTCAAGTCCTATTCAGAAGTTCAGGATGACAGCATGTAGGCCTTGAAGAGTAGTGAGGCTAGTACTATGCATGAAAGCACCATCCCCACACCACTCAGAAATCACAGATAACATCACATGTTCAGAACAAAAGTCTGCATGTACACTTGTAAGCATGTTCAGCTAAACATATACATATTTTCCCTGCAAATGGCTGCTCTTTCTTAACAGCAGTATGGCAGGAGGGCCTCATCTGGGTCCCCCTATGTGACACTATCATTACATTTTGAGGCTTACACACTTTCATTATTTCTCTCATATCCTAACAGCCACTTTGCTAGAAATATAAACTAGTAATATTACTTAGCCAATTCTCAAATTTAATGAGAACATTAATTTTAATTATGGAAAGTGCAGTGAATAACTTTTTCTAGGTATACATATACCCTATCTTCAGAAACAGGGCATTACAAGGCTGAATTTTATTTATGTATTGCCCATCCTTCTACACATATTTCACATAAATGTACACTTGGAAAACTAACAGTGGGATGTAGTCTTTCCAATAGTTACGGAAGTAAACGTGATGGGCTAAAAAGGCTCAATGTATTGTGTACATTCTGAAATTGCCCAATTACATGACAAAACAGTTAGGAGACCATCAGATCCAAATGTGCTCTCTGTTAATTTTTATTGTGTCTTTCCTTACTTTTGCAATCTCGTTGCTATGGCTGGAAATAGTGCTCAGTAGCAGTTCCTCCAAGTGTTGCTGTTTAGTTTCTTGTAAAGCTTCACAAAAAGCTGAGAAGGCTTTGGGGCCCCTCTTAGGAAGTAGGTTCAGTAATTCAATGTTTTGGCTAAAACTCCCAGGCTTGGCCTGAATCCATGTAGAAAACACAAAATTAAAAGAATATTAAATTAGAGAAGCTGCACATAGCCTGTTCTGTAGAACTCTGAACAATGTCAGCACCACTTTCCCTAAGCTATGTCTGCAGTCTGCAAAATAATAATAATAAAATTGTCTGAATATTAATCGATATTCAGAGTTTACATTAAACATCCCTTCATAAGGCATTTTTCATGTTCCATCAAGAAAGTGATATGCAACATTAACCCCATACAGAAATCTTTCAGATAAATATACTAGAAATATTAGAGATTTATATTCAGTTTGACAGGATTTGTTACACAAAATCAACAGCACATTATTTTAATTACGGTCATTCGTGCATAGAAAAAGCTGGCATCCCTTGTTATAGCAATATAAATATAAACCAACATGGTAATTTGTTTTGCATGGAACATTTTGGTTTTAAAAAAGAAATAGAAGTATTCCTGCCTCACAGGGAGGTGACTAAAAATTACTCCTCTCAAACATTCTATGTTACTTCAATGTTTTGCTTAAATCTGTGTCATCTAATAGCACAGTAAAATAAATGCAATCTAAGAAAACAGTAGGCCAAATTCTGATTGCACAGCTATGCTTGTGTAACACTTACAGCATAACCTTTAGAGGTGAATTCCCTTAAATTACAAAATCATCTTAAGAGTGCGCTGAGATAATGTCCATTAAGATTTGATAATTTGATGCCATTCATGTCCCAAGGTTACCTTATTAGCTGCGGTAGCAATGCAACAAGATTTTGGCTATTGACTGGGATTAATTCTCGTGATTTAAGAGAGGATGATGATTTGTGGTACAAACACATGATTGAAAAGTTATTTAGAACTATGATGACATGACAGAAAAGGGTTTCTTGACTCTACAGTTGTTTGATTGCCTGTAGACTCATTTGGCTCACAACAGATGTCACCTACTTTGGAACTTAAGCAGGATCATGCTTTGTTAATACAGTGGTGCCTCGCATAACGTCGCAGGATCATGCTTTGTTAATACTTGAAAAGGAGACAACCAGGAAACACCAACAATCTCAAAGTACAAGACTAGGAAATAATCTTATCTGATATTCTGGAGAACTCCAGCCAATCAGAGTTGACTACATCTGAGTTGGATACATCTGTGGTTCAACACAAGGTAAAGAAAATTCCCATGTTCCCCTGTTCACTTATGCTAGCACAGGTTACAACAGCTCAGATGTAACTATATGAATGCCATATTTCTATTCATTTTCTATTAATTTCTTAAACATTTTTTACTTGTTATAAAACTTGCAACAAATTTAAGTTAACTTATAACATTATAGTTTTATCTAATTATTCTCATACATGTATTTGTCTCATCTGACAGGCAGGAATATTTTGGACCCTTCAGAAGTATAAACCATGTTACAATGATGATCATTTTGGAAAACTAAAATTCCTGTTATCAACAAGAATAAAAATACCTGTATCATTTCCATCATTTCTTCAGTGATTACATCCTTTTCTATAAGGTGTTCCATCAGTTCTTTTAGCACTAGTTGCTTTGCTAGGGACACACGATTCTTTTTCAGTGCCTCCTGATGACATTTCTGCATGCCACATGCACCCAGCATCCTAGAACCAAAGAAAAATGTAAGCATACCTTGCACAGTGTACCTTGTTGTTTAAAGAACAAAGGAAAGCGAAAAAAATTATTTCATTCACATTGCAATTAGAAAGTATTTATGAAGCATTAACAACAATAATGGGATTTGTGTAGTGCCGACAACCCGTATTTTGGAACCTGATATATAAATCCTTGTGCTATAGGTGTTTTGAAGCATTATATCACTGGGACTGCTTGATCTTAATATCAATTAAATCAAATAACAAGTATAAGTGACTTGTTTATTGTGGATTCTTAGCAACTTATATTATTTTGTCCAGTACAGAGAAAAGACATATTGGGAAATTCTCAAAAGAATAAAATCTAACACTGAGAGAACTGTTTATTCTTTAACACAAATCTTTTTTGTATAAAATTATTTTAATTATTTTAGTAACTTCTTTCACCTGAGGGATGGCTTACACTTTTTACTATCTCTATTTACAGATTTGCATTACTCATACTTAGTGATGACTGGTAATGGTTCACTGGGAAAGAAGAGGAAAAAGCACGAAAATGTTTGTCTGTTTACTCTAATAACTAAATTATTACTCCCATTGAGAGTAAGTAACCACATGAACAAGGAAAAAAAGGAATAATGTCACCGTGCTGCAAGGGGGATAAAAATCTATTATTTAAAAAAAGAACTGAAATCATCTTTTTAAAAACTGAAATCAGATTTTTAAAAATCATATTAGGTTTTGTGTGATAAAGTACTTTGAGAAGAAATTACTTACATGTAGTTTTCTATTTAACACACATTATAGCCCAAAGGTTTTCCATTATGAAATATTTTGCACATTCACAAATTGTTTTTTAAAAATTGATGAACAAATTCCATTAATTCATTCATTAGAGTCCCAATGTCATACTTTCCCAGTGATTTCTTAACAATTATTTTGGTTATTTTTCGTAACTAGAACATACCATCACAGATTTTTTTGTATTATTTTATATTATTTTGTGTTTTTTGTATTATTTCACTGTTTTTACTATATTGGAAGCCGCCTAGAGTGGTCTTTTAGACCAGATGGGCGGGGTATAAATCAAATAAATCAAATAAATAAATAAATACCATCACAGATGCTTGGTCCTGCAGTTCACAAAACTGTGACGTCTGCAGAGATAACATGCATCTTCTTAACACAGAGAGAGAGACTTTAAAATAAACATATAGTTGAGCAAAGGGCCTCAGTTCTATTGTTCTGTTGTTAGTGTATGTACACAGATCGAAGCCTTTAACTTTTAAGGGGTCGTCAACCTCCCGGTCTGCGGTGCGGTGCTGGTCCGTGGGCTTGCTGGAACTGGGTGGCAGGTACAGATCTCCGCCCCGCCCCCCGTGCAGTGGGCCTGTCACACCCATGGTGAACATGTCGTGCTCACGTGGGGGTACCCCCCTGCACATGGAGCTCGCTCCCCCCAGCTGGTACGTGGCCCCAAAAAAGGTTGGGGACCACTGTTTTAAGTGATAGGTTTCAAGAAATTCAACGGATATAAGATTGTTTGGGGTGAAACAGAATTTGATTAGGAGATATTAACAGTTAAAATATTAGCTCAATTTTCTGATATAACTTTAACTGGAAAACTGGAAAAGTTATTTGTGATTGGGTTCATTAAAAGTTTGGAGCAGTTCCGCTTTTTTGGTGGGAAATGACTAATCTCCCCCTTTTCGAACATTAAGACATTTACTCAATTTGACATTTAGTGAATCTATTATAACTTCTAACAGTTCAAAACAACTGAGATCTCGTAACTGTTCAATTTGGGAAGACAATAACTCAGTCTGCAGATTAATAAGATTCATTGCGGGGCTGGTCCAAACCATTCCCGAGCTGTGGGCTTCCTCAATGGAGCACTCTGGACAGCGCAGATTGTCCCACAACATGGGTGTCTGGCCCAATCTCCCTCTGGAGGTGGATGGTTGAAGGATGGGTCTGGTTGAATCACCTTCCTTGAGTGACCCTGTCCTCAAAAGAAAACCATGACTGTCCATTCTAGGGCTTCAACCGAGGTCTTCTTTTCTTTATATTTTTCTGGATCAGGTAGTAACCCTCCTACATTCAAATTTGGAAAGTCCTCTAACAACCCATGCACTCTCATAATTTTCTTCTTCCCCTCTCTCTCTTATATTGAACTGTCTCCTCTCACCTTTTTCCCCATCTCCTCCTCCCACACGGATAGAATTAACTCTTTCCCCTCTTCTCCCTCTCTCTCTTCCACCAGACATACTTCAGTCTCCTTCTCCTTTGATCCCTTTTTCTTTCCTTCTATTATTTTCGATACCTTAATTTCTTTTGTCTTCCCTACTTCTATAACTTTCTCCTCTTTCGAAGTCTCTAGCTGACGGGATGGCTCACTTTGCTCTTTTGCCTTGGGATCTACTGCTCCTTCACATTATTTTTGAAAATGAAACTTCACTGGGGTTGTAAATATGATGGTTATAACAGCAAACAGGAAAGAACCTTTTTGCAGAAAACCATGATTTAAATTGAGTATAACTGACCAGTGATATAAATAAATATGATTTAAATCAAATCCACCCTGCCATATTTTTATTTATAAATCATCTTCAGTATCAGTATTGTCATTTGTTTCGGCTGTTATTGTCTTTCCAGGCCTGAATTAAATTCCAGATTTTAATTATTAAAGTCTAAATGACATGTGGGTGGTCACCTAAAGCAGCATGTCCTTCTATATTTAGGCTGTGACTACTGGGTTGATCTGAAGGTTTTTTTTTCTGATACTATGACATTACCTCTTGCAGAGTGCAGGTGGCATACAAGTCAAATAAATAAAATAAATCAAAATAAAGGCTATTTCAAATTGGTCTGGTTCTTTTTCTCTCAATGCAGCTTTTTTTTTCCTTTGCCACTGGAGGCTTCTATTTTTTTCCAAACTGGAATGATTTAAACAGGCTTTTTTTGTGTGATCAGTTGATTTGTTCTTGTAAAGATGGGTGTGTGTCTGCTGGTGGTGTTTCAACAACATAGGTACAGTAGTTGGGGCATGGTGCTCAGGACCATGGGAGTACCCTCTCCTGCATTCTTTCTCCCCACAATCATCCTCCTTTTTAAAAAAATATATGAGCTTAAATACTAGTTTAGCACTAGAACATCTCTGGACAAGATTTTTAAAAAAAATATATATATATATGAACATAAGCATCCTTTCAGTTGCGGTACCATCTTTGGAACGCTCTACCCAGACAGCTGTACATGAAACCTATGGTCTCATGTGGACTTTTTAATTCTGTCAAGCATTTTAGGAATTGATGTAACATCTTCATATGTTTGCACTGCTCCTTTCCTGATGGTGGCTGTAGCTCATAGGCTGGATAATTTTTTGCATAATATTGCTGCCTGTACTATTGTAGTTTTTGTATTGCACTGTATTACTAACATTTTATTCTTTTTAAAAAAATACTCTGACCACAGAATGTCAGCTACTGTGCTATGTAAAAGTGAAAAAAAAAAGATAAAAGCGAGATTATTTTAGTACTGAAGAAAAAGTTTGGTTTTTCAAACAAAGACATGGCAAAAAACTGAGCCAATGTGTACGTAACTGTACTACAGTATCCTGTCATGTTCTATTGGCAAGAAATACAGTAACCAATTTTAGCTAATTCCTTTTCTTCTAAGGGGATTGGCTCACTTTCTATACTAGTACTTCCTAAATTTTGTGTAAATGGAATGCAACTGTTTCCTAATCAAAAACTGCAGGTATATTTCAATTTTATACATAATTAAGTAAAGCTTTACATTAAGCAGGCAGAACCTCAAAAAACAAATTCTAGAAGAATCTTGTCCAAGCCCTGCCAGACTGTAATTGCTGTGCTGAAACCCTACCAGCATGTTCTGTAACCACCACAAAGCATCTGGAAGCTTTACCAGGTTCTAGTCATAGCTACCTTTACCTATTCTTCCTGCCTTTCTCCCTTGATGTCCCTCCTTCTCCAACACTATTATTTTAAATATCACCACATCCAAGGAAATGAGAGATTGCTACCTCTTAGAAGCCTTAATTCCTTCTCTTTCAGGTCAGTCACAACCTGACAAAATAGACAACACTCTAATCCAAGCAATGTTTGCCGCAAAGAATAGTTTTTCTTTTGCAATACATATCTACATATGATAAAATTTCACGTCTAGTTCGTAATCTTCCTATCCTTCAGCCTTTTTCTTCTGTTGCTATTCAGGTCACTCATGCCCCTGCCACAGAGGTCACCATACTTATCTCTTTTGTACACAGGCCTCCCTAAGTTCTCCATACATCATCAGAGCCAATCCTGAATTGTATCAGCATCACTTTTATTTGACATTCTTCCCAAATGTTCTAGTACCAGCTTTACAACATGATTCCTTTGCATCCACTTGAACATATCCTTCTTTACAAGCAAAAAATGCAGGAAGAACTTGTGATTAAATGTGCTAGTTTCACCAAGGACTATAAAAAACATTTAGGAAACAGGTTAATGTCAGAGACCTAGGATGTTCAAATGATTTCTTTTCAGATACTGTAATTGTTTCAAATATTTCAGAGACTTTCCCTTACTGATTCTTGTATGTCTGCTATTACAAGGATTTATCTAACATTTTAAGAATGTAAAAAACCTACCTTTCCTAGGAGTGCAAGGGCAAGCAGGTCCTTCTCAGATACCAGTTTAAAATCCACCATCTAAGATCTGACACCTTTAGACAACCATACACTGTCTTCTTCACATCTTTCCCTTTTCATGCTAGGAGTCCAGCTCTGCAGTTCTACGATAGATAGTAAGTTATTTTAGCAGATCACATCCTGCTGTTTACCTTTTATACATTCTGTATAAGTGCAGCAATGATCTTATGATAAACATCAAATAAACACTGGAAGTCAACTGTGATATGTAACACACACTACTGAGATAAGTGACAACCAATGTAGTGGATAGAGCACTGGACTGAGATTTGAGAGACCTGGGTTCAAGTCCCTGCTCGGCAGTGAAACCCAATGGGGGAGAGTGAAAATGGTAAAACTATGCCTTATCTTATTACACATTCCTTAAGCATCCTGATATTTTATTTATTTGTTTCAAATATTTTTACGCTGCCTTTCTCCTTTAAAAGACTACAAGGTAGGTTATATGACTAAAAGCCATCATTTAACGCTAAAAATAATGAGTATACAAAGGCGGCTTACATCATTAAAAGACAGTTTTGAAAGCTAAACATAGTTAAAAGATAAACATATTAAAAGGACCAAATACCAAACAAAAAGATGGAAAACAAAAGCAACACCAAAAACACATTCAAAGCAGTGAGGCACAACAACCTATTGAAAAAAGCCAACTGAGGCAGCTACTCTCTCAGGGAAAGCTTGCCTGAAGAGAAATGTCTTTGCCTGCTTGCAGGACAACGAAGATGGGGGAACCCGACTGGATTCCTGTAGGAGGGAGTTCCAGAGTCTGGGGAGCAGCAACACAGAAGGCCCTCTTCCTGCGCCCCCCCACCAAACACGCCTGTGGAAGTGGCCGGACTGAGAGCAAGGCCTCCCCTGATGGTTTTAACACTTGGGCAGGCTCCTAAAGGGAGACACGCTCCTTGAGGGAGTTGGGACCCAGGCCATGTGAGGGAAGAAGCTGTAGATCAGAGGCGACTGACTGGAAGGGCAAGAAACACAAGGGAGAGGCACGTAAAGGAAGGAAGGCAGGAGGAGGAGGAGGCGGAGGAAAGGAACCTGGGCAGATCAACCAGAAAATGGGCCTGAC